ACAAAATCAAACACCACTACAACCAACTCAAACACCACAACAAAATCAAACACCACTACAACCAACTCAAACACCACAACAAAATCAAACACCACTACAACAACCTCAAACACCACTACAACAACCTCAAACACCACCACAACAAACTCAATCACCACCAAATCAACCTCAAACACCACCACAACCAGCTCAACCAACCGCCTCACAGCCACAGGTTCAACCAAATCCGGATGCTAAACATGATAACGATAAGCCAGTTACATCACCCCCATATAACCCTCCTCCTCGTGATCCTCCTGCGCCTGCGCCTGCGCCTGCGCCTGCGCCTGCGCCTGCTCCAAAGAAAATTCCTATTACCTCACAATATACAACTTATTCTGATGTTTGTTCAGATAATCCATCCTGTAAAACAGAGTACGTTTTAAATTCGATTTTTCATTATATGTTAATTAAGATCAAATTTAAAAAATTACAAAACTTAATCTACATTTTGTTGTCTCTCTTTAAAGCACTAACAAACAAGATACCGGTAAAACCGAAACTATACAAAATCCTGTCCATAAAACCAGAACTACCATACCGTCAGACTACGATAGTAAAACAATAACTGCATTCGTAACTAAAGTAGTTACAGTAACCGTTACAGTATATGTTCCAGGCTATACAACTACTCTTACTGATTACAAGAATGGTGAACCAATATCCTATGAAACTTACTATCCACCAAGTACTAAGATTATCTTGGAAACTGTCACTTCTGTTGCACCCGCTGGTTTTGAATTTGAAGAGAGTAAAGAGAGTAAAGCAATAAAATTAGGTCATTATGGTTTGTTTAATCGGAATAATGATGGTTTAGTTAGTGTAGTTTTAAGTTTATGGGTTGTAATGTGGAGTTTAGTATATTTAATTTTATAAATCTATAATAAATACTATGTAAATTTAACTATCGTACACCTGAATGATTAATCATTGTTATGCATTGTTAGTCGGTTATTATCATTAGCATATTGATTGTGCTAAGTGATACAGTAGATAATAACCTATTAATCGACAATTTGCACTTCTAGTCTCAATAAATATAATTAACCTTGTTTTTGCAATGTTAGCCCTATAAGAAGTCACTGCACGGGTGCACGGAATTTTAAATACTAGACAACACAAAATTGCACGTAAAATATACATGAGACTGTGCACTGAACAGCACGTCTAAAGCACGTAAAAAGGCGCAGATTCCGTGCGACATTACACGTATTGACGTGCAATTTTACGTGTTTTCACGTATTTTTACGTGTTTTCACGTATACTTTTACGTGTAGTAACGTATGTTTAAATATTTTTAAATGCCTTTTCCTTACAATTACGCATGACTATGTGTTTAAATTTTTCCATGTTTTTTCGATTATTAATGTCCGTGGTATATATTTCCGTCCAGGGATTGAATTACGTGTTTCTTCCGTACCAAATCACGTAGTAATATGTGCCTTTCCGTGTACTGACTTTTTTTATAGGGTAGAACTTACTAAAATTCCAATAACCTTAATTGAACACTTATTATCTATATTTTCAGGATTTCGTGACACAGATGGAATATTATGTCTTGTTCCAAGTCTATCAGCTTTTCGCGCATCTCTGGGATACAATATTATTTATGGATTCATTTGCAATACTATAATTTATCATTGAATTTTTAGGACGCACTATGTGTTCTAATGTGATGGGATTTTTTTTTAGAGGGTTGCTCGAATATATCCAAATGTCATAGTTGGCACGATCGTTTCTTGATTTTTCAGAATTATATAACAATGATTAACATAAATTTGTTTTTTCTTTGTCCATCCCCCCATATAATAAAATTACTCACGTGTCCGTCCGACTTTTAATCAAGAACGTAACCAACAAACATAATATTATTAAATGGTTGTTACTCGACGTTTTAATTCGCTTCTAAATATGAGCCGTCAAAAGTAGAAACCAAGAAATTTGACCTTTTTTTAAAAATGAGTTTTTAGATTAATCATATAATTTTTAAAGCCAAATCTTTTTTTGAATAATAACGAAAATATAATCAATTAGTAAATTTTAAAGCTATAGTCGTTTAAAAACTTTTAATGGTAAAATCGGCGCCACACAATTGTTTATATTTCAGTATTTGTCGTTAATTATCACAGTAGATCTATTAGCCAATCAGTTGAAATAATAACAAACAGGTTTATAAACGGAATTGTTATTTTTAGGTTTGTTTTGTGTTTGTGTAACAAAATATGTTTTGCCAATTATCTCAAAACTTGTGATCATTTGACGGCCCATATGGTAAGGTTGAGTTTTATATAACTTGCTAAATAAAGGAGTACCCTAGCCATGAAGAAAATTTTCAAAGTTTGAGAGAAAATATTTCAATAATTATTTATCTAAAACCGATAAATCTTTTTTTACTTTAATTCTAGTAGCGGTCTTTATTTTGATAATCGGTTAAATTTTTTTTTGAACTTTGAGCGATGATATCTCGATAATTACTTAAAATCGATGAAATGTTTTTTTACTTTAATTCTATGGATTCATAGAATTAGGATAAATAAATTTTCCGAGTTTAAATAATCAACTATTGAGAAATCATCGCTCAAAGTTCAAAAAAAATCTAGCCGATTATCAAAACAGACCGCGGCTAAGTTTTCTAAACTTTAAGCGAAATAATTACTTATCTAAAATTGATAAAAATTTAATTCTGTTGATTCATAAAATTAAAATAAACCAATTTTATTTATTTTGGATAAGTAATTATGATACTTGGACGAAGATCGGTAATATGTATAACCGAGCACAGATTTTTATAATTATCACAATCATACTGATTACTCATGGGCTGAAATTCGTCTGATTGGCTAGTGTAAATCAATAGCCCGGGTAACTTATTTATACACGTTAAAGTACTTTTTGAGAACGTAAAATTACACAAGCAAAAAATTGGCATAAACATTATTTCTAGCTTCAAAAGAGTG